TGCAGAGGGTGGTGAAGGTTGGTTCGGGCGGATGCGTGCCAGGCAAATGTTTGAACATCGGATGACGAAGGTTGGGTCGTATGGGTGTACGCCAGGTGATCTATGTGCATAAGATGATGGACCGGATGGATGTGCACCGGGTGATTTGCGTTTGCGTAGGATGGTGAGGATTGGGTCGTACGGATGCGAGCAGGCTTGTATTCGTTTCGCATAGGCATGTGTGAGTTGGGCCGTATGGATGTACACCGAGAAATATGTCTTGCACAGGAAGGTGAAGATTTGGTCGTATGGATGTGCGCGGCGCTACGCCGAGATCCACATTTTGAAAAGGAACCGGCCTCAATATTTTCTAAGGCGAATGTGTTCGGCGCTAGGGCGAGAGCCACATTTTGAAAACGAAACGGCCTCAATCCTTGACACGGTTGCAAAGTTTTGAAAACGAACGTGCGTGGAGCAAAAGCGAGAGCCACATGTTGAAAACCACCGGGGTTCCATCCATGAGGCTGCCGCAAATCTTCAAGACGAATGTGCGCAGCGCTGAAGCGAAAACCACATTTTGAAAACCACCCGGGCTCCATCATAGCGGGTCAAGGAGCCCGGCCCACGGAGTGCTGACAATTCGGAACGGCCCCGGCGCCATCTGGGAGGCCAGGGGGAGCCCGAGGGCTGAGAATTCTGAGCGGCGGGGGTGGCGTTTCTGACTGGCCTCCTGGCATGGGCGACTTGCAGTCCTGGGGGGACGAAGACCGACGGGCGATGACGACAAAGAAGATGACGGAGGACTGTGGATGGCATGGGGTGGATCTGCGTGGGCGTCCTGGCGACCTGCAGTCCTGGGGCGACGATGGACGACGACGGCGACGACGACGAAGGCGGACTGCGGATGGCAAGAAGGGTGGCGGGGTCGTCGACGACGACGACGACGACAACGACGACGACGGCCGTTTGCGGATGATAGGTAGGGGAGGAAAGGGGGGGGAAGGAGGGGGAGGAAGTGGAAGGGGAGGGGAACGGGGGGGAGCGGGGAGGAGGGGGGAGGCAGGGGGAGGAAGGGGGGCGGGGCTGCGTTGGCGCTGTGCAATCCCAGGAGACGACGGCGACGGACGACAACGACGACGACGGCCCGTTGCACAAGGAAAGTGGGGGAGGGGGAGGGGGCTGCGCGGGCGCCCTGCAGTCCTGGGGCGACGACGGACGACGACGACGACGACGACGACGACGACGACGACGACGACGACGACGACGACGGGATGACGACCGACGGGATGACAACAGCCAACGCGACGCCCAAAACATCTAGCAGGGGGGACGACTAGAACGACAGTTTCGCCGCTCTAAGTCGATTCGTTTGCTCTACACACAATGGGAAGGCGACCCCCCGGGACGGGGGGAAACTTTTTTATCGCCTCCCTCTATTACGCCTCCCTCCTCCCTACGTCCTCGCCTGCGCCTTTCCTCCTCCTCCTCCTCCTCCTCCTCCTCCTCCTCCTCATCATCATCATCATCATCATCATCATCATCATCATCATCATCATCAGCCTTCTCCTCATCCTCCTCCTTCTCCTCCTTCTCCTCCTCCTCCTCCTGCTCCTCCTCCTCCACCACCTCCACCTCCTCCTCCCCTCTGCCTCCACCACCTGCACCTCCACCTCCACCTCCACCTCCTTCCTCAAGCAAATGTGGCTCGAGGCTTCTCCGTACCCATTTGGGCTCTGGGCAATTTCGACGTCACGTCCCACGCCTCCACGTGGCGCTTCTGGGACGCCCAGGCTGCCGCACCGTGAGTGCAGCTTTTCTGGGCGACGAAGTGGGACGCATCGTGAGAACAGCAGCGGTCTACCTGAAATTCTCCGGCCTCCGGCAAGTCCTGGTGTGGTGCCCTTCAGCTGGCTCGTCTTTGTACACCTGGCCGCCTTGACGGGGCTGGTTCACGTGTTCGACCTAGGCATGGTTTGCCTCGGCTTCTGGCTGCGCTGACACTCCTGTCACGAGGATGCCCTTCGTGCAGATACCAATGCTGTGCGCGGCCCGTCGGCGCGCCTTCTGCTACCGTGTCGCAATGGGCCCGCTCACCAAAGGCTGGGCAGTGGCTAGTCGCACGGCCCTTCGTTGCGTTCTCAGGTTCAGTGCCGCAGTGGGCCAGTGCCTCGTGGGCTGCTCGGATTGGGGGGCGGTTTTCAAACCTTTCGGCCTCCACGCCAATGCTTGGATCGGCATGTGAGAGAAAGGCGTGCAGTGGAAACTAGTTCTGTCGGTGCGTAGCTTGCGGTGGGAGGCGAAGCTGGCCCCAACCGTTATCAGTTACATCAGTTACATCGTTAGGATCAGCATGTGCGAGAAGGCATGCAGCGGTGGACAGTGGCAACTATCTGTATCGGTGCGAGGCTCAGCGACGGCGGTCCGTCAGCGCGTTTTCTCCTGCAGTGCCAGTGGACCAGCTGAGATAAGTGCTTGGATCAAGACTGGCGCTTTTTTTCTCTGGTGGGATTTGGTTCTGGCCGGTCAAACTTTGTCTTGATTGGGTCAAACACTTCCATTTTCTGGCATGGTGTTCGGTTGGCGGCGTGCTGGCTTCAGCATTTCCCATCCGCATATTTCCATCCGTTCAGTGTTGTCAGGCATAGTGCCTGGGCCCGTTATTTTCGCTATGTCGCTCGTTGGGTGCAGGAGGGAAGAACCTACACATTTGTTGCTGTCTTGCAAGGTTGTCTGTGGAGGAGGCGATCTGGATGTCGCACGTGAAAGGTTGCCCAGCTATCTGTGGTGCAAATCATAGTAGGGACGACTCGAGCCGAGTTCATTTCAGCAAAGTTTGTTACGCTATCAGTATGTGGTGAGGCATCCATTTGAGGTGTGTACGGGGTGCTCGTCTTCCCTAAGCTCTGGCCATGTACCCGCGCTGTGGTCCGTGTTATGGTTCGTCTTCTTCGTGGGTGAGCTCAAGGGGCGGCCTCTAGAAAGTTGAATCAGATCGCACCACGATGGGGCCCATTCCATTCCATTCCACCTCCACCTCCAGCTCCAGCTCCTCCTTCACCTTCTCCTCCTCCTCCTCCTCCTCCTCCTCCTCCTCCTTCTCCTCCATCTCGTCCTTCCCCAAGACGTCCTTCCCAAACATCGCCACATCTCCAGTCTCCATTCCCGTCCGCAAGGCCCCGTGTTCATCCTCTTTCTCGCCCGCGGCCCCTCCAGAGATGGGCCCGCTCCGTTCGCCGCTCCCCGAGGAGCTTGCCGAGCCCGACGGCGCAGTTGTCCTGAGCGGGCATGTGCATCGGCGGTGTCTCCTACAGTGGTTGCGAGGGACCAGCTCGTGAGGACGTGAGCGTTCAGTGCGATCGCTGCCAGCATGCGGCAGCAGAGGGGTCCCGAGAGCAGAGGCGGCCTAATGTGAGGCTCTTCGCTGCTCTCGGCCTCATGGAGGCCGCGCCTGGGCTCTGGGGCCGTGAGAAAACGACCCGGAAAGAAGAACTGGACCCAGGGGGGAGCCCTGGGCTCCAAGACCCGTCTCCCTCAGGACCCGTTCCCGCCATGCCAGAGGATGAGGAGGAGGAGGAGGAGGAGGAGGAGGAATAATGATGAGGAGGAGCAGGATCAGGAGGGGGAAGAAGCACTACGAGGAGTAGAAGGAGGACAAGGAGGAGGGGGATGGATGCGGACCGCCCAGGAGGAGGAGGGAGGAGGAGGAGGAGGAGGAGGAGGATGAGAAGGAGGAGAAGGACTAATCAGAAGGAAGATAGCTTCTGGCTCCGAGAGCATCGCACTCCATGCAAAACTGTGTCACGCATGTGCCCTTGCTGTGTGCGCATGCCACGGCAATTTTTCAGCGTCGTTCCTTGACGAGGGCTTGAAGGACGGAACGCTGGCACGCGCACTGGTCAAGACACGGGCTCGAGAGCGCCATGCGAGCCAGGCGCGGGGAGAAGGTCGTCCTCGCCCTGCCCTCGAACCATCGACCCCAGGCGTTGCAATCGCTTGCGCTCCGGGCGTTTTCGCTAGGCTTCGGGCCCTGGGACCAACACAGGTCGATCCGGCTCGAAAAATCAGCAGCAAGATGGGGTCTAGGGCTCGGGTCGCAATTTTTCGCGATGGCTCATTTGTCATGGTCACCGGGATGATAAGCCTTTCGAGTGGCCACTGGACGCATAATTGATCAGCGCGGCTCCCCCCACTGTGGCTGCCTTAGACTAGAGGGTCAAAACAAAATGCACTAACGCGGATTTCTTGTGTCAGCGCTGGATCCCTCGCTTTCCCCGTCGCGCGAAGCGCGACAGAGGCAGCGCCAGAAGCGCCGTCAAGGGTGACCGAAACATCGACCCCAGAAATCCGCGCGGACCTCTGACAACTTGCGGCTGTGTCACTTGAGCGACGCCAACAGGCGGGTCTTACGCAAGATGGTATAGCGTCCTTTCGCCGCGGCTTACGCGGGCCGCCAGCGCGGGACGCTACATTAGAAGCGAGGGCGCGCGCGCCATCTTACGCAGGCAGCTCACGCGCGAAAACCCGCGCAGCCGACCCAGTTGTCTTCCGTCGTTCCTTTCTTGCTCTTCGACATCAGTTCCCCATGTTGCCCGAGTTGCCACCCGATGAACGACTCATCAGTGCAGAGCTCGCCTCTGTCGCTGCCCAATACACAGCACTCAGGAAACGCCTGTACGCCACCACCATGTCTGGCCAGCGCCAGCCCAGGCCCCCTGGCACGCCCCCCTCCCTCCTAGGCCAGACGAGTAACACAACCATTTTGCAATGTTTCGCCTCGCCCCCCGGTTCGCCGATTTCAATGTTGAATCAGCCGCGGCCGTTGAAAGGAGCACATCCAATCGCGCAGCGCCCAGCGCGAACATTGAACCTGCGGGGCGCGGAGGGGCGGACCGCGCGCGAGAGTTGCAGTATTTGTCCAGGGTAGTGCAGGGCCCAGGCTGGCCTTGGCCAAGCACGGCAGTGGTGTGAAATTGGGCGCTGGCCGAAACCTCTGCCGATTTCAAGCGGGCTGGAACGCTGCGGTCGGCGTGTCGGGGGAACGCCCTTTTCGGCCAGCTCTGCGCTCCAACCCACGCGGGTCATGGGGCGCCCACCGCTGTTGGACGACCTCTTGGAGGCGCGCCTGGTTGGCGGCGTAGTACGCACTTCGCTGCCCCGATACGCAACGCGCAGCACGTAGCGTGCTGACGCGGAGCTCAACGCGTAGACTGGACACGCGGGTCTGGCGCGATACGTTCGCCAAAACGTGGACTAATACGTGCCGAGCCAACACGCAAAGTGTTAACACTGACGTTCTGAGCACGGTACGTGCTGCGGTTCAACGTGGGCGTATCAGGGCAACTACTGTCGGATCGGACGTAATCACATCCTTCAAGAACACGACGGCACCCTCCCCAGGATGCACACGAGCACCCACCTAACACAAAGGACAGTCGGGTAGTACCCTCCCCGAGCTCGATCTGATACCTCGGCCCAACTGTGGTTCAGAGACACGCGATGACGCGCGCTCGGAGGGCAGGCCAGCGCTCCCTTCGACCGTCGGCGTGGCTCCCCGCCGTCGCCCCTCCGATCGCCGCCAGCGCCGAGAGCTCTCATCGCGCGCCCAGGTGACCCCATGCGGAGACGAAGAGAACAGAAACCTTCCGAGCTGGGCGCCCAGCCTGGCCCGCGGAACCGCCTGATGCTGCGACGGGGGGAGGGAGAGATCTGCAATGGCAAGGCAGGGAAGGAAAGAGGGAGGAGGAGGAGGAGGAGGAGGAGGAGGAGGAGGAGGAGGAGGAGGAGGAGGAGGGGGAGCGCGGGGACCGCACGCCACCAGCAAGAGTGCGAGCCTCGAGCTGGTGGTCCGTTCGGGCAAGGCCCACTCCTCAGGCCAACGCCCGAGGCTGGGCGAATAACACGGAGCCCGTGCCGCCGACGAGGAGCACGGAGGGCCCCGCCTGCCTGCACACCAAACGAGCATCAGCGAGAGGCTCACACGTGGTGCCAGCAGGCGGGGAAGGGCCCACCTGAGACCACCCACAGCGCACCTGGGGCATGCAAGCAGCGGCCCAACCATCGGTGACTGTGGGGCCCGGGCAGGCAGGCCTTTCAGGAGCACCTTCACGAGGATGAGGGCGCCCCACGCGGCGCTCCAGCACTGGTCGCGGCCACGGGGCCGTGGACCAACTTGCGGAGCACCGCGGTCGAGAGCCTGTCGACGTCAGACGGGTAGGCGCCAGGCTGCAGGAGGTACGCGGCGGCGAGGGCCGCACGCTCCTCCGCCTCCGAAGGCGGCGGCGCCAGCGAGGCCGCAGGCGCTGCGGGGGCTCGCAGCCGCCTTGCCAGGCGCACCAGCCTGGGCCACGTCCTCCTCCTTGCCGCTCCGCTGCCCGTGCCGTCCTGCAGCACCGCCAGCGGCGGCAGCGGCAGGTCCCACACGGGGCAGGGCGTCAGCCCAGGAGTCGTCGGCGATGTCAGCGGCCTCAGCGGCAGCAGGCGATGCCAGGTCGAGCGCCAGGGGCTCGGCCTCAGCCTGCTCCGCCTCCGCGGCAGCAGCAGCTTCTCCCCGTTCCAGCGCCATGCGCCCAGCACGCGCCTTGCGGCGCCGCCGACGCCGCTCCCGCTTGGCCTCCGAGGGGACCCGCGGGCGAGGAGCGGGGGGAAGATCAGGGGGAGCACCAGCAGCAGCACCGCGCATCGGCACCTCGGGGACCTCGGCCTGCTGGAACAGCGCGGCAGAGACTGCGGACCGAGCGACCGCCGCCACGGTGCGGCGAGGAGCACCTCCGAGAACAGCGCCACGCACGGCGGCCTCCACCAAGGCGGAGGCGACGGACGGCGGCGCGCGAGCCCCTCTAGGCGCAGCCATCCCGCGGCAGCCCCGACGCGAGGCGACGGGGGACGAGACGACGGCACCGTGCGAACGCTTGAGCCAAAATGAGGAGGAGGGGGAGGAGGGAGGAGAGGAGGGAGGAGGACGACGATGGCGAGTCGTCCTCCCACTGCCCCTCGTACTGGGCCCCGTCGGTCCACGTCTGCCGCCCGAAGCCGTGCCGCGCGTTGTTCCTGGGGATCGTGGCGGGCGAGGCTGGACATCCCTCCTCGTCCCCCTCCCCCCTCTCTTCTCAGCCTCCTCCTCCTCCTCCTCCTCCTCCCTCCCTCCTCCCCCCTCTCTCCTCCCTCATCCCTCCTCCTTCCTCTTCCTCCTCCTCCTCCCTCCTCAGCCTCCTCCTCCTCCTCCTCATCATCATCATCATCCTCCTCTTCCTCCTCCTCCTCCTCTTCCTCCTCCTCTTTCCCTCCTCTTTCCCATCCTCCCTCTCGCACTCCTCAGCGGCCCACTCAGTCGGGGCGACCGCCGGGCTGGGCCGCTGCCGAGCGCTTGCCCGGGTCAAGGGTGGCGCCCGACGCTGGCGCGGGGGGCACCTGCCCTCCAGCACGGGCGGCCGGACGCTGGCGCGGGGGAGGTCGGCGCTGGCACGCGGGGCCCGACGCTGGCGCGAGAGCACCTGCTCTCCAGCGCGGAGGGTGGCGCCCGATGCTGGCGCGGGGGGCCGGGGGGGAGAGGTCCCTGCGGCGCCCCCCCCCAGCAGGGCACGTGGTAGGGCTTCCGGTTCAGAGGGGACAAAAGCGGAATCGACACACACGTTTGGAAGTCCTCGCGGATTTGGGGGATCGGCGCTGGACCCCCCTCCCTGGCGCGCGGAGCGCGCCATGGGCGGCGCCGGAGGCGCCGCCAGGGAGCCCAGCGCGAAAGCACGTTTGTGCAGTTGTCTGCTCCTCAAGGGCTGCGCACAGACAGCCCCCCCTGGTTGGACCTTCCAGCAGAAGACGACACCAATATCAGAAGTCCAATTCAAACGTGCTTGGAGATGCGCTGAATCCGGTCGCAGTTGACCTGGACCAGCCATGGCCATGTCGCGAGCCGCCGCTGGCCGCATCGTTGCCCCCAGACTCAGATCAGCGGGGGGAGAGGAATGGTGAGGCTTCTGGTTGCGCACAGACAGCCCCCCCCAGGTAGTCCCCGCTGGCCTCAGCAGGCCCCGCCCGAGCAGTCCCGGCTGGCCTCAGCAGGCCCCCGAGTAGTCCGGGGCGGTCTCAACGCTCCGCCAGAGGCGGCACCAGGCTGCCGAGACCGCCCTGGACTACTCGGCAGGCCTGCTAAAGCCAACCGGGACTATCTGAGGAGGCTGCCTGCGCGCAACACGAAGCCTCAGCATGCTGTTGAAACCGCCCTGGACTACTCGGGGGGCCTGTTGAGGCCAGCTGGGGCTACCTTGGGGGTGCCGCCTGCGCGCAGCCCGAAGCGAAGCCTTACCACAGGCTCACAGCCGCGACTGCCCGCAGGTGGTTCCCGCGGCACATGGCCCGGCACGAGGGCCACCAGGGAATCTCTGGTGCACCGCCGAGCCTCAGGAAGAGAACATTTGTGCAGTCCCACCTCCTTCCTAGACTGTGGACGGTGACAAAACATCCGCCATGCGAGCACAGCTAAGAACAGAAGAGACAAAAACACAAAAAGGGAGAGAGAGAGAGAGGAGGGTAAAGCGAGGGGCTAGCTCGATTAAGTAAGTAAGTCGAAAACAGAAACACACAGGAAATAAGCCGGGGCCTAGATGAGTTCGTCGACCCACGCACCTCTGGCCCGGGCCGCCTTCCTGGCCGCCCTAGCACCAGGGGCGGGCTCCTGGAAGATGGAGGGGCGCGGGGGACTACTGCCCTAGGGCCCCCCCTGCTCGCGCTGGCGGGCCTCCCTCCAGAGGTGAGCCTGCGGGAAGGGAGGGGAGGGAGGAAGGAGAATACCCTCAGCTCTGCCCCCTGCTGGACCAAGGCTCCACCTCGATCTTGGAACCGCACGTCGGTAGCGTCAGGCAGGTGCCATCGCGCGTGCGCGTGCGCGGAGGGAGCCTCCCCCTCCTCCTTCTCCTCCTCCTCCTCCTCCTCCTCCTCCTCCTCCTCCTCCTCCTCCTCCTCCTCCTCCTCCTCCCCCTCTCCTTTGACTGCTATCCTCCTTCCTGGAAGGGGTGGATGGGGAAGGATCGAAGTGGATTCGCGCAGCTGGCCATCGCTCGGACGTCCAAGTCCTGTGCATGTTTCGGCGTCGTGCGTGCACCTTCCGCAGAATAATCCAGGATCCTCCTCGATGGTCCTCGCCGAGAAGAAAAGCACACATCCGAGCGACGCGAAATGTGCAGCTGTCCTCCCCCGAGATGGGCCCCCCTTGGCGGCTCTCGCCCCCATCCGCCCCCCCCGCGGAAGCCCACGGCACGACGCCGCTGGCCTCTCTCGGGCATGAGCCCGCCTCTGGCCCGAAGGCGGGGCAACACGCACAGCATCGGGCAGAGATAGCTCGGGAACTCTGAGGGCCGGCGGGCCCCGAGGACGTATCGAAACCAGGACAAGGATAACATCGGTTGAACACAAAGCATAAATCTCTGAGATCCGGCGGCTCTGGAAGATGACTCGGGCGCCGCGGCCTTCTCAGAGCGTTCCGGAACGCTCTGAGAACGTTCCGGAACGCTCCCGAACGGATTGATCCTCGTCCTAGCCCAATTCCATCAGAGCACTGCAGGGCGCTCCGAGAACGTTCTGGAACGCCGGAAGGAGCTGTCTGTATCGCAGGCCTGCCCGGCAACTCCCCCTGGTAAGGAATGGAAGAATGAGTTTAATCATGATAAGGTAACCATACAACTGAACATGATACTCATACGGCTCCTGAAGATAATAATCTCTCACCCTCTAGGCCAGACGGAAGCGGGCGACAGCCCTGTATTCACAGCAGTCGCAACCGTTCACTTTTCAATCTGTGTGTGACTGAGATGCATAGCGAATCTCTCAGGACAGCTCGAGCTAGACTGGGGCCGAGGTCCTCGGCCATAACCAAGGCGGCCCGCACGGCCGGCACGAAACTTCAAACCCCCAGACCCATACTGTGCTCTGGAGCCGCCTGAGGTGAAACCTTACCCAACTATTCGATTTAAACAGGCACCACGGAGGGCTTCAACGGATCTCACGAGCCAGATCGCAATGGCAGCCGATAACCTCTTAGGGTAGGAGGCAGCGAGGGCCGTTAAGTTGACACCTGACCCCGGAGCCTTACCCCGAAGTTTGATGTGTGGCTTCAGACTAAAAGAACAGCACCCGTGGCCTCTACAAAGCAAGTGTTCATGACACAGCATGGGGACATGCCAGCCTACGAAGCGAGTGCGTTTACGCCAGCGGGCTCCGAAACCGCACTGGTCGATCACAAGCTGCTTACAAGAGAGATGGCCCATCAAGGCCGACATTCGCACTTCGCGCCACGCTTTTAGGCGTGAGGATTCTCGAGCAAAACAGAGACACGCGCACGGATACAAGCCCTCACGAGCCTACAGGTGACCTTCAGCGTCTGATTACCCGTCTTCAGTCTAGCAGCCTCCGCGAGAGTCGGGTTCGGGATCCCGCAAGGGCACCAAGGTCTGCGGATCTGCTTGAACAAGGCTGGAGTCCAGCTGCTGCACGGGAAGGCTGCGAAGATACCTTTCACCACGCCGGACTGGATCCAGCCCACGATCACATTGACAACAACTGGGTTGGTGAGGTCATACTCTGGTCCATTGAGAGAGTCAAAGCTGATGCTACTTTCTTTCATCGGGTTCAGGCGCTCAGCAACGGCACCTGTGCCCGAGAACAAATCTAGATACACGCGATTGTCATGGCCAAGATTGGCCGCGCGCTGGAAACTTTTCCGAAGTCTACCTCGAATTTGATGAGCAGGCAAGTGTTGATCCAACCCCGCGTTGTGGTCCCCACGGCCTCCGTGAAAAGGCCGTCTCACCCCCTCCCGCGCAGTCGCTTCCGGCCCAGCCCGGGTGGCGGAGGCGGCTTGCCCTGCGGGGCCAGCAGCTGGTGCAGCTGGCTCTCGATGACCAGGCCGTAGTCCCGCACCGGCTTGGGCAGGCGCTCCAGCGACTTCAGTACTCGCGCGTGCTTCTCGTACCTCTTGACTGATGTGTCCGCGGCCCAGCGGCCGCGGCGCTTGATCTCCTCCAGGGAGCGGGTCTGCCTGAGCGCGTCGTCGCTGGCCCCCCCGCGCCGCATCATGCACAGGTGGAGGTTGGCCTGGCCCAGACCTGCAGCCTCTGACGCGCGCTTGAACAGGCTCGAGAACTTCCGATAGTCGAAGGACCACACCACGTCCTGGCCCGAGCGCTTCTTCAAGGTTGAGAAGATCGGGTAGAGGCAAACCAGCTCGGGACTGTCCAACAGGATGCTCTCGTCGAACTCCTTGGTCTTCGTGGGGATGGCCTCTTCCTCGGGCGCCAGCAGCAGCGCCCAGAACTTGGTCCCCGAGCCGGGGGGCGGAGAAACGAGCTGAGCCACCCGCAACCCCAGGCACTCGCTGGGCCTCAGGTACGTCCGAAACAGGAACACCAGGCACTGCGCGAACTCCAGCTCGTCGATGAGCAGAGCTGCGCCCACTAGGGCGCGCAGACCGATCCACGGCAAGGGCGCCCGACTGAGACCAGGAGCCAGCCTCCTGAAGCCCTTCAGCGCGATCTTGGCCCGCTCGAGGACCTTCGCGCTGCGGGTGCCTGGGCTCCTGTACTCTAGCGCCGCGATCACCTTCTCTCCCGAGTCGTGGTTGTGGCCCTGGAAGTAGAGGTCCTCCAGGTACTCGAGCATCGCGAAGGAGATGTCCTCGCTGGCGTTCAGCGGCAAGCCGTTGTTGCTGGCCCACGTCTGGAAGTCCCGAAAGCACCTGTCGTACATCAAGGCAGAAGGACGTGTCACCTTGTTCACCTCCAAGAAGTACTGGCCGAAACTGCGCGCCTTCAGAGCTTCGTCCTGGTGAGCCAGCTGACGGCGGCGAGCACGTTGCCTCCGCTGCTGAGCGGCTGGCTGGTGGCTGACCTCCGTCAAAGGTCTCCTCGCAGGCAGAGGCTGTGTCCGAGAGAGCAGCAGCCTCTGAGTCGTCGCTATCCGAGTCGAAGTCCTCGAGGTACCCGTCGTCAACCCGATCGCGCCAAGTGCTTGATGGTCCCAGCGTGCAAGGCCCGCCGCCTGGACGCCAGAGCCCGTCGTCGAACTCGGGCGGGGCGTCTGGGTCGCCGCTGGCTCGGGCGAGCGCCTCGACAGCAGCCTGGAGCGAGGCGCGCACTTCCGGGCCTCGGGCTGCCCAAGGTGGGCGAGCACCCCGCGGCCCGCCGCCGCCCCGCACGGGCGGCCCCGTCTTGATCCGGGAGGCGGCGTCGGAGGGATTGAACTCTGAAGGAATCCATCTCGAGACGAAGTCCGAATCCGATGCCATCGACGATGCTGCTAGTTGACGACAATGTCTGTTGACGACCATGCTGCTCGCCCTGCCCTTCCCCTGCGCCAAGACGAACCCCAAGTTGTCTCCGAGGAAGAGGTGGCGAAGGGAGAAGTGACGAACCGATCGAAGACGATTTCTGGCAGCGATGACCGTTGCCCTTCCTTCTGATGACGTGATGTTCTCGGCCACTCGCCAGCGGCCACGAACCTTCAATCCCCAGCTAGAGAAGGGCCCGATGCTCTCGCGCCGGATGTCCATGAGCTCGGGAGGGAGCTCATCTGGCAGAGCCCCCTCGCACGGCCGCTGCGCACCCGACGGCTCCCCATCGGAAGCCAAGGCGCGGCGGCGGGCCTGTGCAGCGCCCTCGACTGCGAACCTCCAGCGCTCGCTCTGCCGGCCCCACTCTCTCACAGTCTGGAGGTCGAAAGGCTTCACCACGATGCCGAACCCCCTGTTGTCCGTGACGTTGGCCCCCTCGGAGTCCGTAGCAACGACCTGCGTGCTCCAGGGCCTCCTGCTGTCCGTGTAGGCCAGCGGCAGCAGCACCATCATCCAACGGAGCTCTCGGGCGACCGCAGGCCAGATCTTGACGCGCGAGTCGCCAGCGACCTCTATGAAGCGATAGATCGCGTGCGGGATACTGAGTAGGCACCGTCACAAGATAGCCGACCACGCGAAGTGCCCTACGATGCGATGCAAAATCTTCCCCGAGACGAACCCGTCCTCGAGGATGGCCGCAATGGCCAGGCGCACCTTCCAACAACGGCGGTGCCCGACTGAAATACGTCCTGAGGCCCGGTCGAGCGTCATGCCCGTGAACTGGGCCTCGGGCAAGCCGTGCTCGAGCTCCTTGCACTGGAGCCCGTCGGCCGCGAGCTGGGCGTATAGCTTCTTGGCCATGTCCCTGACGACGTCGTCGCAGGTGCCGATGACCCCCGCGTTGTCGACGTAGATCGCAGTCCCGAACTTGTCGCCCGCGATGTCGGGCGCGTGCTTCTTGTCGAGCAGGAAGGCCTCCGTGGGCGCGCCCGCGCGGAGCGCGCTGGCCGTCACCATAGCCTGGCAGAAGTAAAGAGCCCAAGACCAGCCCATGGCCATGACTTCGAGGTGAGGCGCGACGTAGCCAGTCGCGGTCACGCCAAGCCCAGTTGCCAACTTGCCGTTGGCATGATGAAAGTGCCGAGCAGAAGCCCGAGGCAATGCAAAAAGGTCCGAGACGCCGGGCGGCGCTTTGCAGCGGTAAAAGGCGTTGTCAACGTCCATCTGGGACAGAATGAGGTCGTCCGTGAGCCCGATCTCGACGGAGGCCCACGACGCAGGAGTTGGTAGGCGCGAGTGCGCCGGCTCGTCGAAGAGGTCGTTGACCGCTCTGGTGTCCAGGATCATGCGCAAGCGCCCGTCCTTCTTCGCCACGAAAAAGATGCCAACCGTAGCTGGGCGCTCAGCACATATGGTGACCAGACCGGCCTCCAGCATTTGCATGACGAAGTTACTATAACGCACCTGGTCCTTGACCAGAGAAGGGTCGCTGCACGGTCGAATTAGGGTATTAGCCGAAGTTGAGCTGCCAGAGGACTCTGGCCGCAAGGTAGTCGATACAGACCTCCAGCGTTCAAGAGCCTGGCCGGACAGCATCTGCTCGCCGTCCGCCAGGCCGCCCACCGAGGGCAAGGAGACTAAGTCAGGCTGGAAGTTGCGCCTGGGGTCGCTGTCGGCGTAGCCCGGGCGGCTGCCGCCAAGCTCGCTGAGGGCTTGCGCGGCGGTGCAGGGAGGCGGAGGCATGGCCCGATAGACGTCGGTGAGGATCTCGACACTCCGGCGCTGAGCGAGTGATTCCCCCAGACCAGGTGGAGCATTAACGGGACAGCCGTACATCTCATTCAAGCACTCCACCGCCGAATTAACCCAAGCCTGCCAATGCCGACGAACGTGCACATGGCGTCGCACAGGTCGGCACCCAGAGGCTGGGGAGGAAAAATGGTCTTCACGAGGATACGGCAGCGCGACGGGTAGAAGTTCGCGGCTGACAGTCATCCCAACTTTCGGCGGCTGGACGGGACCCCAGCCGCCTGGCCGCTCAAGCGCCTCCAGCCCCCGCCTTGGCTGCCGCGGTGGCCTTGTCCAGGCCCTTCGCGTGCGCCTTGGCGGCGGCTCGCTCGGCAGCTCGCTCAGCCTTGTTCTTGCCCTTGCCTCCGGGGCCGTCCGGGTACGTCAGAAGACCAGCCGCAGCATCCACAAGGGGTCGATGCACATGAGAAGCCTGACCTGCCTGCAGCCTCCTCTCCTCGTTCAGCTTCCTCGACCCCTTAGCTATCGTGCTCTCGCGGTGGAGCTCCGACGCCACAAACTCCTCCAACAGTGGACAAAGCATCAACTGCCCACGAGTCTCTCCGACCCCGAGGTACAGGAATTCGTCCTGCAGGAGAGCGTCAACCTGGCCGTCTGTCCTCAACAGCTTGTGCTTGTAGCGGTACTCGGCCAGCTGGGCCCGCCGCAGGAGGAGCTCTACGAACGATAGCTCCGCGGCGTTGACTTGGTCGTAGGTCAGAGCGTACTCCACCGCCTTCATGGCTGTCTCGTGATCTGAAACTCCAGGATCAGCAATGGAGAGCGAGCATGTCGACTTCCACCATGAATGCCGAGCCCTCGGGTGGCCGTTTGTCTGAGGAATAAACTGCAAACACCACTTGGTGGCCCGAGGCCCTGTCAAGGGCCATGAGTCCCACGCCGTCTCCGTGACCAGGTCGACCGCGACCTTGAAATCCTTGAAACGCTTGCCCAGTCGGTCTCGTGACACCTCGAGGATACGTGCGTCGAGCTCCGTCTCCCCGCCGTCGTCGCCCTGGTCAGCCGGCCCCTCCCCGCGGTCCGCGATGAGCCGCAGCTTGCCGTCCTTCAGCATTATGCCGAACTCCGGCCCCACGACCCATGCATCCCCGCTCGGCGGGTCGAGGGCCAGACCGTTGGCGGAGCTGACGTCGATCCAGCGGCCGTCTGGGGCAGGAAGGCGGCCTCGAACGTGACTCCGAGCTCGTCAACGATCTTGAGAATCCTGACATCCTCCGGGGCGGAGGCGGGTGGTGCCTGCGGCGTCACAGTGCCGCCGACAGCTGCCGCGCCCACAGGCGCGAGGGCGCCACCCCCGTCGTCAGACTCACCGACGTCGTCCAACAGAGGCTCTGCGTCCGGAGGTGGAACCGCTTGACCACGATTCTGTGCTCGACAGACTGCTCGAGCTCTCTCGTACTGCGCTGGCCGAAGGACCTGTCCAGACTCGAATAGCCGACCCCAATGAGACGGCGGACCCAGGCAGGCCTCCCGCAGAGGCGTCCCCTCGAGGTCGCAGGGCGCGATGCCGAGGAGCGGCGGTACACTCAGCTCCTCCGGGTAGATGTCCCCAGTCGGAGTCCACACCCACATGATAAGAGCGGAGGGGTCGTCTGCTGGCTCGCCCATCACGCGGGCCAGCACCACTGCGTCGCACGGCTCTATCAGCGTCCGTCGATGCCACTGGCGGCGCTCTGTGTCGTAGCGGACGATCACCTCTCGACCTGGCTGCATAGATCGGCGGGCCAGCTCCGGCATCACGTCGCCAAGCATAGGAGTTCAGCGCAGCACCGATCGCCAGCCCCAGAGCGATCGTGAAGAGACACAGTGCGTACGGGGAGCCGAAATAACTGGACTGCACCGCACACGTCAGAGCACTCGATGCCAGAGGAGAGAGCGCTGGCCAGGCAATCTTCCCGGCCTCCCAGAAGGCAGTGAGGGCGGTAAATATCATTCACCTCAGGCGTCGCCGCCTCGAAAAGACTTGAGCATAGACGGAGGCGGCCGGAGGGGAGAGAGAAAGACGTTCAGAGAACTGTAGCATGCAATGCGTAACACTAGTTCTAGCGATGAGAGTATCTCCTCATACTCATAAGCGTAACGATAGCAATGGCAAGAAGAAGGATGATTATGCAAATGCTGTGACAGCTGTGTGCGAACACCTGGACAGCACGCGGCGGATCCACGAGTGCGGGAACCCCTCGCTCCGACAGAACGCTGCTGCCAAAAAGTGCAATGAGGCAAAGGGGTCCTGACGGGAACGAGGTCCTGCACCTGGGGGCTTCTCATTCTGACTCGCTTTCTGGGGCCCTGGAGCCGCCCTCCTGGGAGGCAGCAGAAACTACGAAAAGCACAGGGCCCACTCATTTCCGTCAGGCTCCCACGCCTCCGCGATGACAAAAGAGGGCGTCCTCCAGCTGCCCACGTATGTCGCGCCGGTCCGGAAGCAGAACTTCGAGCAGCCGCTGGGGATGCGCTCGTGCGAGCGGCTGAGCTCCGCAAGCTCCTGCCAGTGGGTGCCGAGGAGAGGCGGTGGCAGGATCGACGGGCGCCGAGCTTTTTGATGAAACAAGACGCCGAGTCAATTTTCCAATGTATCGATCCTGGCCTGCTCTGTCATGGGACCAGGATTCGGAGACAGTCAGGGCTGCGACTCCCGCCTCGTGTCACCCTGCAGGTTAGCCTCTTTCACCCTGCAGGAAAGCCCCAGGGAGCGCGTGCTGGTCATGCGCTGCCTGTCCGCAGGGGCTGCAGGGACACAACATGAGGCCGGGTTCCGAGCAGCGCGTGGCTGTGATGCTGCTTCGGCTCCCCGAGACATCGGTGGATACGCGCTCCTGGCCGTGCCGGGGATGCATCTACTTTTTGGGGGGGGAGCCCTGGGAGGCGTATACATTGATCCTGGGCCCAGGATTAGCTCGGCTGCGGATGATCGGCTGCGGGTGCCAGCCAGGGACCCGACGTCGTGGAAGAACCATGACCTCGTGAGAGTCCGACCCTACCTCTCTGCGCCGTCTCATGAACCGTCTCGATCTGAGAGCGTTGTCCCCGGGACCGAAGCTGTGAGCTCGTCGTGATTTGTCACGAAGCCCAGATCTGCGAGGGAGGGGCGAGTGCGCGAGGCTGCCGTTTACACACATGTCCACCGCCTGCGGAGCCGATGTCCCAGGGCCCCAAGGGGCAATGGATACGGATATCTCTGGGCCCAGGAAGGCCCGAGTCTACACATGCACACTGCCTCCCGAGGTCCTGGAGGATCGCATCCCCAGATCGGAGAAGGGGAGGGGGAAAGGGCATACCGAGGCGACGCGATCCACGTCTCCGACTTTGCCGTGCAGGTGTTCGTTGGCACGAGCAGTGGGACTGGTTGGAACGGAGTGAAGCCTTTGCGTCGAGAGGAAGCCCTGCACGCATCCAGGGTGGGCCGTTACTGGTTTCGTCTACTCCACGTCCACGAAGCCCTCGTCACGGATGACAGGTGGGATCTGCATGAACTGGTCAGCACACTGAGGTGGCATGAAAGAAGCGATGTACGCCCTCCACTCCAACTTGCGGTAGACCTCCAGGACGTGCAGCTGGTCAGGGCCCTTCATCGGTTAATTTTTGCTTGCTGCCAGTCGTGAGACGAGTTCCTTCACACCAGCACGACGCTGCAGCCTTGAAAAACAACAGCCTTACCCAGCCTTGGCGCATCACAAGGCAATCGGCTCCGCCTGGGAAGCTGCGACGCTTGCGACACAAATCGTGGAACGCTCAACTGCCCCGATACGCAATACGCAACCCGTAGCATGTTGGCACGGAGCTCAACACGGAGATTAAACACGTGCGTTTGGCGCGACACTTTCGCCTGGACTTTGGCCAATACGCTGAGCCAACACGCAACGTGTTAGCACGGGCGTTTTGAACACGATACCCGTCGGTCGGAAGAAGCGGGTCTAACCATAAAGTAGGACGGTGTTGAAGTAGATTGGGCTTCCGCCCGCCCCCTGAAGAGGAAGGAAAAGGAAAACGCACTCGATGATTGAAGTAGGAAGTCGCCTGACGTAGATTGGGATCTGGGAGTCCAGCAGAAAACGCCTGCTTTCAACGATCGATGGGTACGTGCTGCGTTTCGGCACGTGCGTATCCGGGCAGCCAGTAGAGGCCTCCAGGGTCGCGCCGCATCGCCGATACATCGGCGATGCATCGGCGATGTATCGGCGATGCATCGGCGATGCACCGACGATGCATCGGCGACGTGGGCGATGAATCGGCGACGTCGACGTGAAGCAACTCGGGCTCCGCATCGAGCCGCATCGGCGATGCATCGGCGATGCGGCGCGATCCTCCAACCCCCTCTACTCCGACCCCATCTAGGAGGTTTAGAGCCAGGGCAGAACGTCCACTGACCACCACGCCGATCCTGGCCGAGCCCGCCCTGGCATCAGGAGGAGGAGGAGGAGGAGGCGGAGGCGGAGAAGGCGGAGGCGGAGAAGGCGGAGGCGGAGGAGGAGGAGGAGGCACCAGGATCCTGCGCTTGGGGATCGCGGGGAGGCCAAGCTCGAGCGCGCAGGACGCTGCTGCCGCACCGCACGCGGCGAGCGGGGGGGCCCGGTGGGCGCGCACCAGAAGTCACTCCAGCGACGGGTCACTCTTCGGGGGATGGACAGAACCCCCTTTAGTAACACGTGGTTTAGTGAAAACAACCTCTGGCCCAAACCTGGCGGGCGCGAGCCTGGAAAATGACGGCCGCGGCGCCCTCTCGACAACCGAGGACGGACAATTCACTAATCGACGTGTCAGGGTGGGGGTTCTGTCCAGCCCCGACTCTTATACGTGCAGTCGATCCTGGGGCCAGGATGTGCCCGGCCAGGATCGGCGAGGTGGTCAGCTGTGCCCCCCGCGAGGGGCGCCCGCCAGAGTGGGCACAGCAGAGGAGCAAAAAACTGCATGAGCACAAGCTTTCGGAGGTCCGCGCGGATCTCTTGGACCCACGCTGGGACCCCCCCTCCTTGGCGCGCGGTGCAGATCCAGGAAATCCGCACGGAGCTCCGAAAGCTGATGTTGGCGGCGAGCTCGGGGGAGAAGTGTTAAGTCGGGCGTGTCCTTCTACAGGGGGGTTTTGGGCGAAGCAGGTAATCAAAAAATCGTCCTCAGGCTATTTTTTGATTCAGAAATTGGTGGTGAGATCGCAGTGAAACGGAGACCCCCCACCAGGAAATCGGTTTCGGTTTCGTGTTCATGTCGTGCGTGCGGGCGAGGCGACGCTGCGCGTGATCCTCCTGTAGCGAGAGTCCGTTCCCGTCCGCCGGTGGCTGGAGGTGTCCCAATTGGGCCGGGCGGTGTCCCGGGTGTCCCGGGTGTCAGTAGGAGCGAAAGTCTGTTTCCCGTCCGCCGGTGGCGGGGAGGTGTCCCAGTTGGGCCGGGCGGTGTCCCGGGTGTCCCGGGTGTCCCGGGCGTCCCGGCGCTAACGCATGTCGCTAATTTCATAATTCATGTTCTTCGGCGCCTGCGGCGGGCTTTCTTATCCAATACAGCTCATCTTATCCAATCCTTCTTGTGAAATCCAATCCATCTTATCTTATCCAACCCATATTGTCCCATCTTATCTTATCCCACCCAATCCAATCCTCCCAATCCAATCCATCAATTCATTTGTTTCTGCGCCTGCGGCGGGCCAATCCAATCCATCTTATCTTCTCCCATCCAAAAGGGATGAGATCAAGGTGACAGGCTGGAGGTCAGTCAGGGTGCACATGGGCATTTGATCTCAATCCCTCCCCAACCTCCTTATCGCCCGCAGGGCGGTCGTATAGGTATTTTTGAGCATCCCTTCTGTAGAGGGACAGGCCCGACTTAAGAGAAGCGAGAGGCGGCAGGCCTCCCCCGAAGGCACAGGAGACTTCTCAGAAGGCCGGGGGGCTTCCGAGAAGCCCCGCCGCCTTCTGAGAGGGCCTGCCCCCCCGCACTTCTCCCCCACCAGGGCGCGCCGCCGATCATGCTCCCCAGACCCCCGACGTCATGAGTTGTTCGTAACGTCGACCCCACCGGTCTCGACCCAGTCCCTGGGACGGGCGTCGCGCCCCGAGTCGTCTCTTGATGGCCCCGAGGCCCGGCAAGGTCCCCCAGAGATCGAGAGCAGCGAAAAAACCTCCCGCCGTGATTCTGTCACGACTCGAGGGGGCCTGGGGTCTGGGTATGCAGGTCTGGGTATGCAGATCTTTCTCCTCCAATCTGCAGAGGGCCCTGCGGTCCGCTGGGCGGCGCCCGTGGGGCCTCGGGCGGGCGCGCGCGCGCGCGTGCTCGGCAGCAGGCGGCCGCCGGCAGCGCCGGCGGGCCACCTGCCGCGGCGCGGCGTTAAAAAAAGCAGGCCTGCTGAGCCACCCGCCACCCAAGACTCAGGGTGTTCTAGCCTACTGTGGCCTCGACAACCAGAAAGAAGTTCGGGCACCAAGAAATGCACCGAAGCTCGAAGGTTTACACGCGTCGGGCCCTAAAGAGGCGATGCTCGTTCGACACGGTTTCGACACTTTCCTGGGTGCTCGAACTTATTTCTGGGATGTGGTCCTGAAATACGATGGGAGGAACATAATCCAAGACCCGCTCGAGTCCTGAACAAAAGAACGACGGAAGGTGTTTCCATCCTTTCGGCCTCTGAGAAACCAGTCAGGGGGAATCGGGGAGCAGCAAAACTGCAGAAGCATAAACGTTCGGTTGCGGATTGCTTGGATCTGCGCTGGAGCCCCCTCCCTGGCGCGCTGACCGCGCCAGGGGGGTCCAGCGCAGATCCAAGGAATCCGCGAGGAGCTCCGAGGTCTCACGTTTGCGCAACTCTTACTTCGAGGGGATGAGTCGGGACCTCTCGGGGGTCGACGTCAGGAACAAGAACCGTGACGCTGGAGGCCTGGGGCCCGCCCACGCTGGGCCACACGCCCACGCTGGTCCGCTGGCAGGCGTGCAGGCGTGCGGTCAGGAGTTGTCTGCTCGGCGTGTCGCGGCGGCGGCCCCGGCGACAGGCCACGCACCCGGACCCCCTCGAGACCTGGCAAAAGTCACGACGGGAGGCTTTTTCGTGTTTTCAGCCTCTGGAGGCCCTTAGCGGGCCCCGGGACCGTCCAAAAACGAATCAGGATCGATCCCAGGGAATGGGTCGAGACCTCCGGGGGCCGACGTGCGAAACAATGATGACGGTCGGGGGTCCGCGCATGCCTTGCGAGCTGATGGCGTGCCGCCATGCTTCGCTGGGCGGGAGGCTGGGAAGAGCTCGGGACGGTGCCGTTCGGGGACTGGGAAGTGGTCAGCGTGTGGCGCCGAGGCGTGGTGGGCCAGAGCTGGCGGCGCGACACGCTGAGCCCAGAGTTCCTGAGCGCGCGTTTCTGGAAACACTCGCGTCCCTGGCCCTCCCTCCCCCCTTCCTCCCCTCCTCCCTTGCCCTTCACCCTTCCCGGCAGGAAGCTCCGCCTCAATAGTACGTGCCGTCGTTCTTGCCCTGGGCATCGAGGATTCCCTTCCAGTAGTCCGCCTCGTACGCCTTCTTCGCGTTAGTGTCCACCTGCACCTCGATGTCGCCGCCGAAGAAGCCCGAGCGCGCCTCAAAGATCGCGAGCTTCTTCTTCTCGATGACCAGGCCAGTGAGGGGGCCGATGATAGGCGGGCTCGGGCACCAATCGATGAGCTCACCGTCACCGACCTTCCACGACGAGCCGTGCAGCGGGCACACGATCGTGTCGCCGATGACGTCGGCGCCCTCGCTCATCGGAGTGCCGAGGTGCGGGCACAGGTTGCCCACGCAGAAGAGCTTGCCGCCCTCCGTCTTGCCTACAAGCACGTCGACGCCGCCCAGATTGACCGCCCGCAGCTCGGTTGGGGCAAGGTCGCTCTCCTAGAGGAAGGAGGACGTAGCACATACATAAATGTCCGAAGCTCCACGCGGATTTTTTGGATCCGCGCTGGACCTCCCCTCCCCAGTGCGCGGAGCGCGCCAGGGGGGATCCAGCGCTAATCCAAGACCGCGCAGACGATCGAACGCTTCTGCGTACGACAGGTTCGTGACGTGCCGACTTCGGCGCTGGTGTCTAACACCGCGGGATCGTTCAACCTTGAACGATCGGCCGTTTCCTAAACGTCAGATCGTTCAACATCGACCAATTAATGATAGGTCGGATGCGGCGTCTAACGTTGAACGCCGGCGGCGGGGTCGCCGCCGGTCGACACGACACGAACCTGCTGTTTGCGGGTGCAAATTATTCTTCTCGGATCTCCCTGAAGCCGGTCTTGATCCACGCGAGGGCGGGCAGAATAGTCTGCGTGGTGTACCTGGCTGCCGTCTTCGATGGCCTGCCGCGCCCCGCAGTGCTGGGCGCCACGAACGTCCGGCTGTGCCGGAGCACCAGCAGGGTCAGCGTGGCGACGGCGCACGCGCGAGCGGCGGCGCGCATGGCCTGCGCGCGGAGCCTGACGAGGCACGGGCGGTCTACCCAGACCTCCGACGATACGGTCTATTCAATCCTGGTGGGCCTCCTTCGAGAAACAACGATACAGAGGGATAGGCTCAGGGGGGAAAACATCTGGAATAGGCGATACACCGCCGACAGGGGCCTGCTAGCCCACCCCGCCCAGGAACGTGCGGATTCGCTATCGGGGGCCTGTCGCCGATCCATCGGCGACGTACCGCCGAATCCAGCTCGATGTTGCCACCCCTGAGCCTATCCCTCCCTGCACGGCTTCCCCTGGGGCTGTAGGCGACCCGAGGAGGAGGACGAGGAGGAGGACGAGGAGGAGGAGGAGGAGGAGGCGGAGGAGGAGGAGGGGGAGGAGATGGAGGAGTGCACGAGGAGGAGGAGGAGGAGGAGGAAGAGGAGGAGGAGGAGGAGGACGAAGTGGACGGGTCGCCTAAGCCCTTCGGAGAAACCCTCCATCCCTCCCCAGTTACTGTTAGGAGGAGACAGAGGAGGCGGAGGCGGAGGAGGAGGAGGAGGAGGAGGAGGAGGAGGAGGAGGAGGAGGAGGAGGACGGGTCGCCTAAGCCCTTCGGAGAAACCCTTCATCCATCCCTTGTTACTGTTGCCCCTGATCCCTCGCTCCGGCCTCCCAGGGGGCCGCTCGTCGGGCCCCGGGGGCCATCGGGAGCGGACAGGGGGGCGAGAAGCCGCCGCCCCCCGCGGGGAGGGGGCACGTGAGGTCTGGGGCGTCCGTCCGGGATTGAAGAACTCAGGCCGTCGGACGTCTGGCTGGGGCCGGGGCTGGGGCAAGCAGATCTGGGGGGGGGGGGCACCTTCCGCCCCGAGACAGAGTGGCAGCGGTGAGCGCCTGTCCGCCCAGGGGAGAAGGGCGCCTGGCCATCAGCAGCAGCACGGCCTGGGGCCAGAGGGGATGAGCAAGCAGCAGGTGCTGGGGAGAAGGCGTCGCGCCCCAGACATGCTCGCGCCGCGAACAAAAAAGACGGCGGAAGCTCTTTGGCCTTTTCGGCCTGCGGGGGCCCTCGCTGGGCCTTGGGACCGTCAAAAATGGCTGGGGATGAAGAACCGGTCCTGGGGAAAGGGCCGAGGCATCCGGGGGTCAATGTATGGAAAAAGAAACATCGCATGTCTGGGTGAGCGGCGCGGGGAGGCGGGCCTCCCCCCTTCCCGACGGGGGGTCAACCTCGCCTCGGTCGGCACAGCGCGCCGCTTTGAAGCGCCTTCGCGGAGTGGTTGTCGTCCGCGAGAGAGAGGTCGATTTTAGACTGCCGGCGAAGGTGGTGACAGCAGATGTGTTGGCCGCGAGGGAAGCTCGCTTCTTAATAAGGCTTGGAGAACCTTCTCGCCAACCGTTAGACCGATGATCTTCGAATCTGATCCCGAAATTGCCCGCTACAGAAGCCACGAGTAAGTGGACTACCTCTGGGGGAGCATACACGCCGGTCGGAAGAAGTGGGTAGAAACCCGAAGTAGGAAGGCGCTGGAAGTAGATTGGGTCCCCGCCCGCCCCCTGAAGAGGAAAAGAGAAGGAAAAAACACTCGATGACTGAAGCAGGAAGGCGCCCAAAGTAGATTGGGATCTGGACCTCCAGAAATGCCTACTATCAACGACCGACAGGTACGATTTGGCGGCGCGCACAAGGGGGTGGAGGGAGGGGGAGGGCTTCGTAGAAGGAGGCTGCTTCTTAGAAGGCGCCGGCCTTACATCTGTAGATAGGCCCACGGCTTCTAAAAAGCAGGGGTACTTCTAAGAAGCCCTCCTCCCTCCCCCCACCCCCCTCTGCGCGTGGCTGAACGATCCTCAAACTGCCCGCTACAGAAGCACCGAATCCCCCAAAGGTTGAAACCTTCTGGGAGGGCACCTCGCCGGCCTCCTGCCGCCGCCCTGTCGCCCATCCTGCGCCAGGTGCGCCCCCCCCCCCCTCCTCCTCCCTCCTCCTCCCTCCTCCTCCCTCCTCCTCCTCCTCCTCCTCCTCATCCTCCCTCCTCCCTCCTCCCTCCTCCCTCCTCCCTCCTCCCTCCTCCTCCTCCTCCTCCTCCTCCTCCTGCTCCTCCTCCTCCTCCTCCCCCTCCTCCTCCTCCTCCTCCTCCTCCTCCTCCTCCGCCTCCGCCTCCTCCTCCTCTGCTCTGCTGTCGCCTGCCCTCCGCCACCCTCCGCCCAGTAGAAGAAGGCAACTCCCCACTCCCTCGAAGGCGCGGCCCTACTTGGATCGGCTGCACGAAAGGAGTGACCCTAGGAAAGGGTGACCTTTGGTGCGCAGCGTCAGCGGGGGGGAGCGAGGGGGGCAACAACCAAGCGCGCAGGCCGCTGCTATCGCTTCGCGCTCAGCGATCGGGAGACCCCAGTCGGCCCGCACCGAGGGTCACTCTGGCGAAGGCAATGTCACTCTTGCGTGTAGCCGATTGGAGCGTTCCGAGTCCGCGACTCCAGGCGCTTCCAGGAGAACAGCAGCAGATCTGGGCGAGCCCCTGCCGTTCTGCCAGAAGGCCTGCTCACGACATCCCTGGCACGACGGAACATCGACCGATGCTCTGGCCAGCGCTGCAGATGACGTCTAGGAGATCGAGCGATGCTCTGGTCGATATTCTAGCGAGCGATTATCTGGTCGATATTTTCGAGTCTCGGGCCCCCGGGCCTCTGTGGAATTCATCTCTATTTGGGCACCCTCCATGCTCCCATATCGTTTTCCAATGATGCTTTCCCCGACCCGCTGTTGTTGTGCATCAAGCTGGCTTGAGGCTTAACTGACTTTCGGTAGCGAACGACCTGGAAAGATTCCTTCCTCTGTGATAGTGACTGCCGCCACTCTGGGTGACCCTGGTTCCGCAGTGGTAGCGGAGCTGCCAGGCTCCACGGAGGGCGCCATCGAGTGCCATAGCGAGAAGATCTTCGAGATCAGCCAGGAGCTGCTGAGTTTCGTTCAGAGGAGCGTGACAGCAGAACACCGACAACCACGAAGACGCGTGCAAACACGACGTGTACGACGACAGAGTGGCGACCGCAAGAGAAGGAGGTCCAAGAGCGCGCACACCAGACAGGAAGCCAATGATGGGCCTACATGGCGATGGTGGTTTTTCTCCGTCTACGTTGCCCTGCGGTTGGAAATATTAAACCTAGATGTGATTTTTCCTGGGCTGCGAAGAATGGTGCCGTGCCTGACGGGGCCGGCGAATACGCTGGCATGTAGCATCGCGATGCAGGACCTGCGTTCCAGAAAGTGGGAACACGACGAGGAGACCAACGAGGGGCAACGATAGGGGGGGACTGGCATACAGTCAATTTTTCAAATTCTGCTTGTTTTAGTTCGCGCGGCACTTTTGGCCAGGACCCTGCCGAATTAAGAAGTGCGGCCCTGCCCCTTGCCTGCATGAAAGTCATGCCGAACTTACTTGCTGGTACACGGACAATCCAAATGCTGCGGGTACACGGGCAATCCAAATGCTGCGTTTTCGCTGCTTGGCAATTTCCGGCCATGCCCATAATACCAACATCGGAAAGGCCAATGTGTTGTTTTCGCTCTCGGGAATAAAACGCTCAGCGCCTCCGCCAAATAAAAAAGATGTCAGCATGAACCTTTCGTTTGCAGGGCATTTTGGCGCGGCGCCTTCGCCAAATATCAGTTCGCGGCGATTCATAGCTTGGGTGTAGGGGGGCATGCATCGACCTGGAATCGGCGGTGCAGTTCAGGGCCCTGGGTCTGAGGGGTGGGGAGGGCTGGGGAGCCGGGGGGGGACCACGCATACCTTCGTCGTGCTACCATGTAGGGTTAGGTCCGACATGTCCCCCTGCAGGCGGATTTTGGAGGAAGAATCCAAAAGAAACAACAAATGCCCCCAAATGGTCAAAACAGATTCCCAAAATCGTCCCCCGACTACTTTTTCTACTCCTGAATACTCCTCCCGCAGAGGGACGTGCCCGCCTTACACGCAGGAGCGCTGCACAAAGAACGACAGGGCTCGCTTGGCCCCAGCGTGCCCCGGCCACGAGCAGGCTCCCCGACCAGAGCCCCCAAAGGAGCGGCCCGAGCACCGGAGCCCCTCGCGCCCTCGTCGTCGTCGTCTTCGTCGTCGTCGTCGTCGTCGTCGTCGTCTTCGTCGTCCTCGTCGTCCTCGTCGTCCTCGTCGTCCTCGTCGTCGTCGTCGTCTTCGTCGTCAACGTCGTCCTCGTCCTCGTCGTCGTCCTCGTCGTCGTCGTCTTCGTCGTCTTCGTCCTCGTCGTCGTCCTCGTCCTCGTCGTCGTCGTCGTCGACGACGACGACGGGGAGCGGCCCGAGAACCGGAGCTCGAAGCGGCCCTCGTTCCAGCGTCGCGGCTGTGCGCCAGGAGGGGCAGGGCTGGGAGGGGCCAGGCGGCGAGGGCGGCGGGTCGGGGAGCCCCGCGGCGGCGGCGGCAACGCCCAGACCATGTCGGGCCGGAGGTTCTCAGCGATTGCGACCTCCGGGGGGCAGCTCAGGACCCTGGGGCGGTCAGACATCACGGAAAGCCGGGTTTTTGTTCCTGCAGCTTCGGCCTCGTGGGGGCCGGCTTCGGACCCCTGGGGCTGACAGAAGGCGGCGCGGGGAGAGTGGCCAGACCCAGGGAAGGGAGGAGGGAGGAGGAGGAGGAGGAGGAGGAGGAGGAGGAGAAGGAGAACGATGACGAGTCGCCTAAGCCCTTCGGAGAAACCTTCGAGGCCAGCCCCAGGGAAAGGGTCGAGGGGTCCAGAGCCCCGAGACTCGACAGCATCGAGCCTTCGGACGTCTGAGGGCGGCGGCGGCGGCGATGGCGCAACGGCGGAAGCGCGCTGTGGCGGCGGCAGCCGCGGCAGGCGCGGGGGTCGGGGGCGCCCAAACATGGACTAGCGATCCATGGATTTGGCGCGCGATCGCCAAATCCACGGATCGGGGGCGGTGCCCTCCCCAAAATGCGGCCGGTGCCGCCTCTTTCGGCGGCGGATATCCGTGATCCCCCATGGAAACGGAAACCGTCGCTAATCCACGT